GAGAGAGAGAGAGAGAGAGAGAGAGAGAGAGAGAGAGAGCACTGACAGTGCAGCCAGTCTGAAGACTCTGACGTTCTGAATTGAACTGCAAAGTTTGAACTTTTAAGTTATATATGAAGTTATGAACTTAAATTACTAAATCCAAAGTTCAAAGTTCAAAGTTAATCATACTTTTTTCAAAAAAAAATTCTCTGTTTCTTTAGTCTTGTGCCTGCTTTGCACTGTTTGGAAATCTGCATGTCTGCTAGTTAAATGTGCTGGTTGATTTGCTGCAAGACACGTGCTCTGCTGCCTGAACTACAGAGTGCAAAGCAGTTAAGTGGCTGCCAACACCCCCACCCAGGCCGCCCCCCCCACCACCACCGTTTTTTTTTTTTTTTTTTTTTTTTTTTGGGTCCGGACATTTTTGCACCCCGGGGATCACCGGACAGTCCGGACCGGTCCAGACACTGGTCTGGAAGACAGTCCGGAACTGTCCGGTGTCCGGGTCTGGGGTTACCATGGGGCCGCCCCTTTTATTTTTTTTTATTTTTGCTCTGGGGGCCTCCATCCAGACATCACGGACTGGACACCGGACCTGGACATGTTGTTCTGGACTGTCTGGAACCCGGTCCAATCATGAACCAAGCAGAGAGCACATGCACCAAGATTCCATTTTGATAAGAGTAATACAACGAACTTGAGTGTCAATGCAGACGCTCTCTGGTCACACCAACACTGTATCCAATGTCGCTCCTACTGTCTGGCGTCCAGCGCCCAGCGCCCAGCCTACTCTACTCAGCCTATCTACTCTATCTACGTTCTTGCGACTGGATCACATCGAAGTCGAAGACCAATGTACGTGATGTCAACACCAATGCCAACCTCTAGCATACACCAGGTACGTTCTCTCTTCTCCCCTCATCACACCTTGGATCCTCTCTGCATGCGCCTCCTACCTGAAGCCCACCATCACCATCACCAGCACCAGCACCCGCACGCTCGGCCCGGTTATGGCTGCCGTGTGCCCACTGCCACCGGAGTGCCCTCTCGCCTCTTAGCGCCCGCGTGCACCCCAGCCTGCCTGCATAGCGCAGCGTCGCACGGCAAAGCAGCAGAGTGGCCGCAATGCCTGCTCAGGCCAGAATCCTCCCCAGGGGGCACACACTTTCCTATATGGGAAGTGTTCGCTGCTGGCTGGCCTGACCAGGCATGTGGGGGGCCCAGTAGCTTGCCCCTGGCCCCAAGTGTCTGCGCCCAGGTCCAGTTTTGGATACTGGCCTGGGCCTCGTGCAGTTAGGCATGTCCAGGCAGCCACCCAGCCTCCAAGTGTTTGCAGCATTCTCATTGGCTCGCGGCACATGTGTGACGACGATGCTGCTTCCTCATTGGCCCGTAACCAGTCCGTGATGTGTCGGCCTCACACAGCGTGTGCCCAGGGCGCAACCACCTGAGCCCTGGGCTCAACTGTACAGCGCAGCCCTGTTGCTTCTGGAAGAGCCTGGAAGCTCGTGTTGCTTTGTAACCAACTGGCGTGCTGCAACTGTCTGAGTATCCACATATGGAAAAATGTCGAAAACAGGCCTCACTTGGATATTCAGGCCCGCCTTCAGTTAGGGCGCACACAGGCTTGCTGGGGGATGCAGCCCAGAACACTTGTACATCTGATAAGGGCCCCACGAGGGCCATTCCTCGCATTCCATTCCCCTTAGCTTCGAAAGACCGCTGAGATGCTTCTACGCAGGTGCCTTCCCCTTCAGTCCTCGTTCGTAATCTGCCACAATCTGAGGGGCTGTCCCGACAATCTTTTGTGAACCAACGATCTTCTTTTGGATCTGTATGATGTCTGAACCTGACCCGGTATTCCCTCATAGGTTTAGGCGTTCCCCCCCTGCCAACAGGCGAGTCTCTATGTTCCAGGATGCCGTCGACGTCCACGTGGCCTTCCATGGTTGGGGGCAGCATTGATCTCCTTGATGGGAATCGATCTGTCTCAGCGAAAGGTGCCAGCTTGGAAGCGTGGAATACAGGGTAAGTGCGCAGATGACCAGGGATTCTAATGACGTATGAGGGTCAGAGGTGGCAACTGGGTAACCGTTGCCCGTACCCGACCGTACCCAACTGTAACCGGCAGGTTATGGGCAGGTACGGGTACCCTTCCAGAGGGGGGCATCGGTATGGGCAGGCATAAATTTTATTTGTGGATTTCAGGGCAGGCATGGTTGCACTGCGTGGAGATCGCGGACAGGCATGGGCGGGTACTGGGAGTGAAAAGGTAAAAACCGCAGTTATGGGCGGGCAAAAAAAAAAAAAAAGCATGGGTACAACTGTTAGAGGTTGGTGAAAATAAATCAGATGGGTATGGGCAGGTAAGCAATTATGTCGGGTAACCGTCCGTAATATCCACCTTCCCCCCCCTTTCCCCCCTTTTCCTTCTTCCCAGGAAATATGCAGACCGGCGGAGCTGTATTTTTCTTAGGCACAACTTCTTTTCCTGGCGCGAACGGCGAGAAAAAATTGCCTCCCAGCTTCGAAATTTGCCACTGTCGAAATTGGAAGGCTCCAGCCTCACCTCAGGGAGCTCCCCCTTGGAAATTGACCGCCCGTTATGGTTGTACCCGCCGCCCTTCGGTGTGTGCATGCCACTGCATGGCCATCGTCTGCCCGTCGTGGTTATACCTGCTGCCGTTCTGTGTGTGTTGGATGACCATGAGAGAGAGAGAGAGAGAGAGAGAGAGAGAGAGAGAGAGAGAGAGAGAGAGAGA